TTTTCTGGTCAGGCCATAAGCCAGAGAAGCCATTTGAGTGACTTCAGAGGGAAGCTGCCCTGCTGGTGGGGCTGTGTAGTCAGCTGAGGAATGAACTGTATGGGATTAGAAAAGACTGGAGGTCAGTTGCTAAAAACATGTTTGCAATATAGAGTAGGTTGTCCTTCCTGTTATTAACTTAATAACTACATGATATCCAATAAGCTAACTGCTAACGTTTAGGAGCTAAAAAGATACTGAGCAATAAAAGGTAGAATTATTCTGTTTACATGGACAGTCAGGGATTATGAATTACAGCGGCTTTGCTGGACAATTCCAATGTGCTGTTCCCAGTTATTCCCAAATTTTGACAGTGAGTCCTGTGTGGCCCTGCATGGAAAAGCCTCCCCAAACCACCTACTGGTCTTTATGAACAATGTTCCAGGCAACATAATGTTCTCCAGCTTCTCCTGACACATGCAAATCTGTCTCATGTGCTCAGCATGAACCTGCTCTCATCTATGAAAAGCACAGGGCACCAGTGGTGAACTTGCCAGTTATGGTATTCTTTGGGAAATGCCAATGCCAGTGTTCATCCTTGCAAAAAGGAAGAGATCCTGGTCCTGCTGATGGGTTAAAGACCTTCTACAGCCCTGTCCAGCTCTATTGGCATAATTGCCTGTCTCCTGGAATCTCCTGTGCTGTGCTACTGTGCTGGGAGATACAGCAAACCTTCTGGCAATGGCATGAATTGATGTGTCATGCTGGAGGATTTGGACTACCCGTGTAACCTCAGTAGGGTTCAGGTGTTACCTCACGCTACCAGTTGTGACACCGATCCTTGGTAAATGCAAAACCAGTGAAAAAGAGACAGAAAAGATGAGCAGGGAAAAATGTCATTCCTGTTTTGCTGCCCCTCTAGTTCACCCATTCTGAATTTTAACTAACCAGATCAATATCCCAGAAGTTAAAGTGATTTGATGCTTTAATGTGATTAAAAGTGTCCCTTTACTATTTTTGAACACAATATTAAATCTGTTACTATCTCCAAAATCTAACCTTTGCATGTTTTCTTCAAGGTTCTTTATTTGTCTTTATCTTGGGCAGGTCTCTCTTGAAATAGAGATTCTAACCTCAGTGATTTTTATTAAACCTGGATAAATAAACCACAATTAATAAAATAAATAATAAGTATATAATTAACAGACCAGGCTGTAACTAAAACTTTAGGGAATTATCATCATAGCAGAATGAGTGCCAATTTCTAATTGATATCATCCGCACTGTTTATTGTCACACACTGGGCAGCACTAAGCAACATAAAACTATCATCTGTTATCTACCAGCTGTTTGTGTGTGAATGAAAGGCCTTTCTACTCTCAGGACCAACTGCTACAACAGGGTTGTGTTTCACTCCTCTGGCCCCGGCCCAGCATGTACCGGCCATACACGTGGCCCACGGGGACCACCTCAAAACCTCCTCTGACAGCTGTGGGCAAGTGCAGAGTTGCTATTTGTGTGTTCAGACTGAATCTTAGGCGATACTTTTACAATACGGACACATGTATTGAGTATCATTTATTTTAGTGCCGCATGCATGCAGTTCATTCCTTTCATTTATCATTATCATTCCAGGAGAGATAAATAAACAATAAATCAAAATATGACACGTTTGGTGTTTACAACTGCATCAGTACTGCAGGAACTCCCAAAGGAATTTGAATCTTTGCAATAACGCAGCGACTTTCAGTTCCATGTGCCAGGGTCTAAATTAGGTTCTAATGACCTTAAACAGTCCCTGCTTGGGGCCAGTATAAGTACAGAACTTGGAGTTTGGCGGGCAGTGCTGAACACTTCTGATTGGTCAGGTACACATCTTTGTGTTTTTTCACCGCTTACTGGATTCAAGGGGAGCAGCTGCCTGTGAAAATGGCGGGTAAAACCAGCACGGACTAATTTTGACTAATCTTTGCAGGTCTTTGGACTTTTGGAAGGGAGGAGGATATGCAGACAATCATAGTTCTGCAGAACCCCTGCTTACAATTTCAGAGCACTGTGGATGGAAACACAGTGCATTTGTTTAATTTCTGTATCTGCAACCCTGAAGGGAACAAAAATGCTAATCTGACTGTTTAATCATGGCAACAGGGTATGAGCTGCAGAGCATTCATTCAGAAGAGGTCAAAACTCCAGCAGCACACCTGCCAACAGGGTTATAGCTAATCACATCCACATTTATACCATATCCTAGTTTAAATCCTGTCTGGGTTTTATTCTGACGCTGATCAAAGCCACAAAGCTAAATGTGTTGGTGGATGAAGCTGTTCTTTGTACTGTAATTGTACTGTACTGGAAGTTTGGCCTCTTCAAAGGCCGACGTGTGTCACAACTTTCAGCACTGGAGTGGGAGATGTCATGGGAAGGTGGGAACAGCACGCCCTGAAAGGCATTCAGTATCAATACTGAATGCTGGTATTGGTATCGGATCTATACTGGTGCAAGAGGGTCGATACCTTACAGTACCTTCCGATTAAGTTCAGTACTTAGCCCACTGAACCGTGTTAATTATTGTTATTCTTTTGGAAATAAAAAAAATATCCCTCAAACATGAACTATGAAAAATGTCCGGCCCTTTTTGTGTTGACTGACCCCAAATCAGCTTCTGCACATTTACATTTCAGGCCTCCAAAAAATTAATTAAGAACTGAAAGGTGTGTTTTGTTGTATTAACTAATTATTGTGGAAATTACAATGATTTATTAGTCAGTGAAATGTGTTCAGAATTTTCAAATGAATGAGGATTCATCTCATAAATCATGACACGCTGCTCGCTCCTATATAAGCTGCCTTTATTTGTTAGAATGTGTGTGAATGTGTGTGTGAATGGGTGGATGACTGGATATGTAAAGCGCTTTGGGGTCCTTAGGGACTAGTAAAGCGCTATATAAATACAGGCCATTTACCATTTTTTTTTTAGAAGTATCGGCAACACTGGCTCTGTATTCCTTGGTATCAGATTGATACCAGAATGAGCATTACCACACAGCACTAGCATCCAGTTTAGGTAAGTTCCTTTGTTGTGTGCTCTTTGCTGTGTGTCGACAACTGCTGGAGTCTGTAGATATTGTAACCTGAATAAAATCCAAAGCAAACAAAGTGACTCAGAGCCTGCATATAAGAACTAAAGCCAATGTCAACACAGTCCAACTCAGTCCCTTATTGAAGGTTAACACACAACGTTATGCTGTTAAACTCAAAGAGGCTGGAAATAATGCTGACTTAACTAGTTGAAGCTTTCATTATGAATTCACTTTATCTACAAGTTTTTAATAAAAGACTGGTCAAGTTTTGGACAGAAAAGGAGAAGATCATTTCTCCTTTTCTTCTTAAAAGACAAACAAGCAATTTTGCCAAAAATTCAAGTGCATGTCTTTGCGTGTTTTTCAGATTTGGCAACTTTGACTGGAGGAAAAAGGGTGCGTGTGCGTGTGTTTGTTCTCCAACTCTGCATGCACAACAAAAATCTGATGTGTCACTTTTTCTAGCCCCTTGAAATCACAGTTGAACTTCAAGCATTTCTTTTCTTTTTTTAATGGTATCTCAAGAATGGTAACGCCTTCCTCCCTCCTTCATGTGTTTTCATTCTTGTAGGGCTTTTGGGAGGGAGGAGGAGCCAGCTTGTTCCAAACCAAGCAATTGTTGGCTTACTTTCTTCAACCTGGTCAAAACTTAAAAAAAGGAGTCCTGCTTTAAGAAACATCTTTAGGTTAAGATTGTGAAGCAGGAAGAGGGGATCCTGTGGTTACAGAGAAACAGCCTCTGCTGGGATACAATCAGATCTGTGGGTGGTGTCCACTTAGCATCAGGAGAAGGAAATGATTTCTCCCACAAAGAGGGTTTGCATGTTTTGGCAGCAGTGCTGAGATCTACAACACCGCAACCTTTTTGGTGCCAGAACTAAAATTCCTTCTCCAACAAGTTTGTTATCAACACTACAGGGCAGCACATACCCCAGTTTGAACTTAGGGGTTGGCTCGACACACACACACCAATCCAGATTCCTTTTCATCATTTCATTTTCAGTTTCTTCAAGTTTGTTTTCTAAACTTCTTTCGGTTTTGGGGAAGTTATTTAGCAGTCCTCATTTTTTTCTGTATTCCTTTAAAAAATACATTTATCTTGCCAGAGCGCGCGACTTGTCATGCGCGGCGCTCCTCTGAGTTATGACCTAAGCACACACATGTGGAGGAACAGCTGTGCCAGGTAGCTTATGAAACCTGCGTGACGTGAGCTCGAATCCGAGCTGCAGCGCACCAATGAGAAGCCGGGAGAAGACAGCAGAGCACATGAAACGTAAGGAGCTCGGAGAAAGCATGAATGCAAAGGCCATTCACTGGAAAGAGTGACGGATGGAGACAGAGTGAGCTTTTGAATGTGAGCTCACAAATTCAGGAACACTTCAGCCCTCCACACTGGCCACCTGCACCCTAACGCCACCTGGTGGCCAAAAAGGGAAACATTTCAATTCAATTTTATTTATATGGGCCAAATCACAACAACATATAAGGGATCAGTCAAGGAACTTCTCTCTGGGGTAATCTCGTTAAAAAGAAAGTCTCTTTGTAGAAATCACTTTGTTTATGCCTGTAAATATCAAAACAAGCACATGAGCAGCAATGCAGGATGATTTGATTTCACATTTGTAACTGGCAAACTACTTAGTGGGAAAGTGCAGACTTCCTCTATTCCAGAATGCAGCAGAGTCTGGTTGGCCAAAATGAAATTTAAACGGCTCACTTCTGAAATTCAGAAACATCTGTCATAAACATTTATGTTTATAGTTTTGCTTTATGGTTCAGCTTAGAGCCCAGTGATCCAGTAGTGTCCAAGAGTGTAATAAGCACTAACTTAATATTAATGTTAACTAAATATTAACTAAAGCATGGAAGAAGTGGGGTTACTGGTAACTGTATTTTGCAGTCTTGGCACTTATAAAAGTCAGACAGATTAACGAACACAGGTTTTGTTGCGCAAACATTTTATTTCCATTAGTACTGAGAAATAAAGTCCGAGACATACTGAGGCTTTAAAGGACATTTCTACTGTTCCAGAAACAAGTTTTCTCCTAATAGTGCTATTTATTGTTGTGAATGCACCTGCAGTTTACAGATAAGTTTCATCTCTGACAAAATACACATAGCCTGAATATGAATTGATGCGTGGGGAATGACAGAAATAATAAATAATGAATGAGGAGAGGAGGTGGTGATGAAACCTGCAGTAAGCAGGAAACAGAGAAGTGACGGGCACCTGCACAAACACACACACACACACGCACACGTCATATCTATATCATTTCAGTCTAGCTGAATGTAGTTACATGTACGTACAGAATACCTTATGATGCAAAACATGATATACACTCTCCCCTTGCCACTTTATTAGTTATATCTGTGAAATCTATCCATGCCACTGCAACAGCTGTGCCTATTTTTTTCAGTGTTTTTTGACCTCAAAGTATTATGAAAGCATGGGACAAATATCACCCCACAGTATGTGTGTGAGAGCTTTGTAAAAGTGTAAAAGAATCAAAGGCTGAAGTCTTTTACTGGACTGGAATAAATCTCACAGTGTAAATAAAGTGGTCCACGGGTTTAGATTTCAAAATGTTAATAGGGCCCAAAACCGTACTCTAAATCACAATATTTACACATAAAACAGGAAAAGATGCTGCAGGAGGGAAACTAACTTTTCCTTTACTCAGTACGCTACAAAAATAGACGATCAATAGAAGAAGAATACTCCATTGTATATTCAGTATATGACTAGAAAAACAAAGCTGTCATTGGTAGACAGCATGAGGAAAAATGTACAGCAAATAATCAAACAGTTTTAAGAAAATAAGTTGTTTAAGTCTTTTTTTTTTCTTTTTTTAGAGGATCAAAAGTTGTATCCAGTATTTTTTATTGTGCACTTTCACTTCCTCTTGCTGTGTTTCATTTACCTTAAAAAAGATAAGCGTCACAGGTCAGAGTGACCAAAAAAATGCACATTAAAAAGAAGTTTCCAATTTACAGTAGCACTCCTCTTAGTTTTAGTATACATATATATATTTATAGATAAAAGTTGAAAATAACTTCTATGTATTCCACTTACATATGGAATGCTTAAAAGCGAAACTAGCTTCCAAAGACCTCCTGTCAGCTACCTCTTTAATCAGCATAACCTAACAAGTGGATTGTTATATTTATTATTCCCAGTACAGTACCAAATATTATTATAGCCAATATTTTATTCATTTCATAATTGCAAACCCAGGAACTGGAAACATCTCATTCTGAGATGACCTCACACCCGCCTGTCGGCCAATGCGGATGTCTTAAAGTCCAGCATCACTGAAATAACGTCCTGCCTGCGGTCTGCAGACTGTGTAGTGTGTATTTATGCGGTCAGTGCTGTGCCAGTCCAGTAAATATTTACAAGTATTTTGGAAGCATTTAGAAACAATAACATATGGCAGATGATGGCGTGACTCAGAGCTAAATCCAGTTCATTTTGTGCGCGCTGTCACAAGGGTTTGATTATAAACGCCTTTTAAATAAGCGTCTTTTCTCTGTAAAATTAAAGTCAAATCAAATCACGATGAGATTAAAGTTCTGCATTTCAGGGAAACACGTGTATTCAGTCACTAGATGGAAAGCTTGGTACAGCTTTTTTATTTGTGTATTCAGTACAGCAAGTAGACCATTAGCTTAGCTTTGCCTAACTTAGCATAAAGACTAAAAATGAGATGAAACTCGAGACTTTAGCTTTAGTTCATGCTTTGATCATTGACATGCGATGTAGCGAAATGGTATCAGTCTTTTTATCTGTCCTTTTCAGTAAGAAAGTGAATGAAGGCGTGTTGGCCTTTAAACTAGATTTAGCCCTGAGGTGCAAGGACCTTTAAACAATTAAAACAAAGAGGCAGTTTTCCATCTTCTTGAAAATATTGCATTTCATTTCATAGTCATCACCTAACACGTTTAGCTTTCCTGAACCAAGAAAATAAATCTGACCAAATCCAGGACTTGAAAATTTCTAACCGCTCACTGAATAATGTCAGCTTACGATAAATATGGAATACACAGACAGAGCACAACCTAAATACTTCTTTTCAAACATATGGCATGTTTATGTCTTAACGTGCGATCTGTGACAAAGAGGAATGATAAAACTAAAATAAATAGACATGGCCCGAGCACCTGTAGATAAGAAACTGCCTGTTTCTTTGCCAATAAGTATTCAGTGTTTCATTGCCTGAGAATCTGTCCAGAGTTATGCTGAGTTGAGTAAAGGGCTTAAACAAAATTAGCCTCGTATAAACTGCTGCTTTTAATACTGAGAGGAATGATTTGAGGAGACTTCCCAATACTCCCTCTGTGTCCGATCTCAGAGTGCTTCAGACCCAGTACTGGTTCTTTTTCAAGGCCGGGTTTGTTGTCCGACAGTGCTGCAACAGCTCAGGGTCTGCGTCTTTGGAGTCCATCTTGGACATTGGGATGTTATTGGCTGGGTCAGTTTTGCGAAAGGTCTCTGTGGTGGCCACCTCGCCATTTTTGGGCTTGGATGCTGCCGTCTGGACATTGTGCTTACCCGTCTTGTTTTTGCGAATCAGATAGTAGGCCAAGACAGCCGCCAGTAGCAAGAGAATGAGGATTACCATGATAGGGATGATAATAGGCCAGATGTTACTGCGCTTGGCAGCTTGTGGTCTTCCATATGAGCCAGATCCAGAAGCTGTAGTGGCATCTCCGTGGGGCCAGAGAGGGCTAACTGGAGTGACTTGAGGGATCCCAGGAAGATGATCAATGTCTTTGGAGGGAATCCTCAACAGAGTGACAGGGTAAATTCCAGAGGCATTGTAGGGACCGGTTTGGAAGGAAAGCACACATTCTGCAGGAGGGACCCCGTGAGCTTTGAGCAGGAAGCGAGCCTCATCCTGAGTGGCAGCACTAGGTGATCCAGAAGAGCCATTTAAGATTTCCATAGCTACACGACCCTCATCCAGGTCCTTTTGGCTAAACGACTTCACTGAGTCACCTGCGTTTGGGCCTCCAGACTTTACAAACCGAGCACCTCTCGGTTGCTGGATGACAGTGAACGTTGGGGTAACTTTAGTCTTGTTGGCGAGGGATGTTGCATCTAGAAGCTTTTTATCCAGTTGGACAAGCGCACCCTGGGGTAAGAGAGGATCCCTAGCAATGTTGGCCAGAGGTTGCACAGTGATGTTGAGGACAGAGGAAATGTTAGCAGCCCGGCTGCGGGCTGTAAATGAAACACTGTCTCGGGGTGAAGTGGACTTGACAAAGCGGACACTGACTCGGCCTTCCTTAATCAGTTTCTGGGTAAAAGCAGATGTAGGCTGCCGGTCTACCATGACAGCGGCGTACTTGGGAGCACTTGTGATTTTATAAAGGATGTCCTCCTCAATAGGGCCACCAGTGCTGACCTTCAACATCTCTTCAGTCACTAAGGTCTCATCGTTGCCCTGCTTCACCTTGATCTCAGGGGCTATGTCAAGAAGCAGGGTGTGGGCCAGTACGACGATGTGCAGCATGTATGCTTCGGTTTGGTGTTCTCCATCTGATACTACGAATTCCATGATGCTATCTACAAGGCTGTTGTCACTGTAGAAGCCCACCTCTCCACGATTGACCATCTCTTGTGTGAATTCAGAGATTGCCTCCATTGTGCCTGAGTCAACTAGTCGACCATTGCTAGGTGCTTTGGTCACCTTGAAGTGCACCTCATCTGGAGGACTGTCCTCATCATGAGTGTTAAGTTGTCTCTGGGTCAAGAGGGTCATGGAGCCTTGAAGAACCTCAAAGAGTGTTTCTGTAGTGACTAGTTCAGGGGGGTCTGAGCCCCTCCGTTTGATTGAGATGTTAAAGACTTCCTCCAGGACCACAGACTTAGCAGGTGAGGCCAAACTACGGCCCTCAGACTTAAGACGGGCTCTGAAAGCAAAGCTGTCAGACGAGTCTGCCAGATCATCATGGACATACTCCACCTTTCCTTGAATGACATCTTCTTGCATGAAGGACGGGGTATTACGGGGCAGGTCCTGACCATCCAGCATGATACGACCACGACCGGGGAAACGCTTAATTTCAAAAATGACATCCACTTCCCCTCGGTTTTCTTCTGGTAGGCTAGCCAGAAGGTTGGAAGCATCAAGAATTGAATCATCGATGGTTTTTCTGTGACCCTGCACAATATCCAGACCTAAGCAGAAAAAACACAAACGAAGAGAAATGTTAAATTTAATCCAGTTGTTTTTTTCCCCCAAAGATACCTACTATTTATTTTTGTCTGTCTCCTGTTGATATTTAATTATGCAGGAGATTGAATCTGGAATACATTTGGAGAGACAGATGGAGCAGGGGGCTTATTGTTTTGGCAGCAACAGAAGTACGGCTGACAGGTCCCTTTGTGACTTCAGACTCTTAATAGTAAATTACTGTAAAGAATAAGGAAGAGAATCTAAAATGAAGAACAAGCTGCAACTCACCAGCACATTCCCCAGAAATAGAACTTTTTTTCTTCCCTACTCAGTAACAAACGCGTGGTTGCTGGGTGAATTACAGTATTTTTCCAAAATGTCTGAGCACAGTTTTAATTTGAATTTTTTAACCAAAAACAAAACAACATATCCTAGAAATAGCATCTCTTTTTTGAAATGTATCACTAAACATTTATATGTAAAGTGTGAGAATGACAAGCTGCATTCAAATCATCACTGATCCACATTATTTGAATCTTTGTGCTCTCTCCAAAGATATCAGCAATTACAGCATTGTGCTGTATTCACCAACATATTCAGTGACTCTTACAACACTTCGCAAAATGCCAGCTCCAGGATACAATAAAAAAGACAAAAACTATTTTAAAGTGCTGCAGGAACGCTCTGCACTCAAACACACAAAGTAACCCTTTTTACTTTTACAGCATACAACAATGTGTGGTAAGGATAAACTCAGCTAACTAACAGAAAAATACTTGAAATGTCTGTTTTAATAATGACTTCGCTGGAGTCTTCTAATGGTGCTTCACAGATGCAGACTCTCATCTCTGCTTCCTAACATCTGTGCACATGTATTCATAATATGTATGCTTTTGGTAAGTACCAGAGTGATCATTTAGGCAGGCTCTCATTTATCAGTGTGGCCTGTGAAAAAAAACATGCAATTTACTTAATTGAAAGTGTTGCATATGTCCCTCATTTCATCATTTACCTTTGTTCCTCCACAGCTGTGAGGAGATGTTGCTGTGAGCAGCATAGTAAGACACGGTTATGGGCAGGATGTGATGGACGTCTGATGCTGACTGGGACAAGAGCTCGATGGAGTCCTTCACTGCCCAGAATGGTTTCTCGGGTAGCTGGTGCTCATAGTAGACCATTCCTGACTCCAGCTGTGCATCAGAGGAAGCGAAAACAGAAGGTGGTAAGTTGTTTCAAATAAATCATTTCTTAATTTGGCGATCACTTCAAAGCAAGTTTTATTTTAGCAGATACTTTATTTATTTATTTCATTCCAACTAACTTTTGTAGAATCTGATAGAAATGTCGAGGATTCATTATCTGACATGTGGCTCACTGCAGTCAGTCACTTGTTTGCTTGACTAACTTTATAGGCAAAGACTGGTATTTTAGCTCGGTAAGATATTTTTATTTGGAGCAGTGGTTTGGCTCAGCTCAGCTGGATTGCCTGAAGTCACTGTTGCCTCTTCTCTCTCTCTCTCTCTCTCTCTCTCTCTCTCTCTCTCTCTCTCTCAAACAAACACAGAAAGGTGCACATATGAATTTCTGCATGCAGGAAAAAAGCAAACACACGCTGCCGAATAACTCAAATCATCAAATGCTTTCGGCTTGACGACGTGTTAGATTTTCTGTCACAGTCCAAAAGGAGCAGTTTTCGGGGAAAGAATTTGTTCTCATGCTCGTCCAAGCACGGTCAGATGTCAAGAATGGAAATGAACAGATAGTCTTGATCCGACTGTTGCCAACACAGCTGCACGTGTGGTGCTGCTAAACTATCGACGCCGTGTGCCTCATAATCCTAAACCAAAGCCATTAAAAGCTAAAATTAGCATCAGTAAAGTTTCAATATTCTTTATTTTTTGTAATCTGAATATTTGGTTATATAATAATAATAATGCTAGACAAATAAACATAAACGTGGTTATGGAACAGCGGAGCTCTTTGGAATCAAGAACCCCACCCTGATGAAGGGTGTTGCCAAATTGGTTTTAGCCACAAAAAGCCAAAGAGATTTTATTATACTAAGAAATCCTTACTTTCTGCCCTTTCCATCTCTGCCCATTGCATGTAGACTTAACAGTCATAAAGGTACAGGCAGAGCAAAGCTGCACACACCTACTCTTCAAACAATATTAAAAGAATTAAAAGGATATCAATGAAACAAAAACTCCTAATACCAGTGAGACATCACTAGCAACGATGCCCCCTGGTGGGAAAGAAATGTTCATGCTTCACATGTTGTCAGTTTGAAAGAAAAATACATTCAGATTCAACTAACTGCAGTTACAGACATGAACGTGGAACAAACAAAAAGGGGAGTTTAGACAGCATTAGACAGTAAAGCTCATCATTCATGACTTTCAGGGCTAATAACTTTTGAGTTGCTTTCCTTATGAAAATACAGTTATTGCTATCATCATGAATATGCTTCCTATTTAAGTAGTAGATTACAATTAATTTGACAAAAAATACATATACATTTACAAATCATTCCTTATCTGGATCTGTGAAGATGCTGATAGGGAACGTAGGAAGGAAAGGAATGTGGATTGCAAAGTTATCTTTCATAAATATCTAAAAAGAGCATTATTAAATGCTACGTCCAGTTGAACAGAATCAACTTGTGAACAGAATCAACTTTTTGGGAGAGCGTTATTAAATTCTCCCCAAAACAGTCCAAATAAACCTTTGGAGACAAAGTTAGATCGGGAATCCTGAGGTGGAGAAGAGGGATAGTAGATTTACTGGACAAAGGATGTTGAACAGACAGGAGGAAAAGAAGGATACCATTCATGGATGGAGTGAAGGAGGACAGAGGGCTGGTGTGGCAGAAGAGGTGTTCTCAAATCTTGTTTGAACATTTGCTAAAACTGGACAGCATTGTTGCTTGGTTAACAGCAACCGACACCACTAATTTGTTCCTTGGAGCCAAAGTACAAACTGAAACATTTAGTGCCAGCAATCAGAGGGCTGTACAAGAGGCTGGTTTTCAGGAAGCAAAAACAACACCGAAAAACCAGCACTATTGATTGTCTGAGAACATTTAATACAGCAAGAAGACATTTTCTATCATGTCAAAAAGGTATGGGCGTATGCAGAGGAAATAAAACTGTACATAAAACTGCACAAGTTGATCCTGTGCTGCCAGCTTGTGCTGATAGGATTAGCTGTCTTACACGCATGGAAGCAGTTTTATGTCTTATATCTCCCATGTGCGCTTGATGGTCTGTGCAACAGATGAGTGACGTGCCTTTTACAGCTGTCACTTCTTAGACACGCGGACCTGCTATTAATAGTGATGTTAAATCTCAAAGTAAAGAGGATTTACTCTGCAAAAAAGAACAGAAATACATATTTTCACTGAACCCCAAAACTCTAAAAGTAATTATTAAAAGGAGATAACATTAAAGGATCTAACACACATTTTTGTTTCAATTTCATTTCATGGTTTATTATGTCGATCTATATCTCCCTGCTAACATAAAATCATTTACAACTTCTGATAAACAGAAAGGAAAACGTGTTAAATGTCTCCTAAAGGAAACATATGCCAGAAATGCATATTTCGCAGCTCCCGCAGAAAAAGCAATCACCTGTGATTGTGAGAATTGACTAATTTCCTCGTACTGGTTCCTGTCATTGGCCAGGATGAGTCTTCCCAAACGAGGCGGGCGGAAAAGCGAGTAGCTTATCTCATTTCCATCCCCACTGGTTACAGCCCCCACATTGGCGCTTGTGATGGGCTGCCTTGTTCCTGTGAAAAGACAAACACACACACACATAGACAAGCGGTCCTCTGATGAGTGCTGATGACTCTACTGAATGTGGCCTCTTTGCAGTCTAGTTCAGCTTGTAAAATTACAGCCCCAAACTTTAGAGGTTTCTTTAACTCATGCACAGGGCAGATGAGCTTCCTGATGTGGAGAGCATGAAATGTGTCAGATGGAGCCACGTTTTAAATACACTATTGTCTGATTGTTTCATCTGCTCAGAAGCACAAACAAAGGAGAAAGGTGCCATATTTCTGGATTTTAATGTTCACAAATCATCATGACTACTCCTGTAGCCTCTCTGCTCTGTGTATGTGTGCAGCTCAGTCTGCTGTTGGTTAAAACCAGACCTTATAGAAGGGGTGTCAAACATGAGGCCCGGGGGCCAGAATCGGTTCGACAAAGACTCCAATAAGGCCCACTGGACGAATGTGGAAAATGTGAAAGAGTATACATTTTGGACTCTTAACTGTATTGTCAGATGTTTTTAGAGCCAAGCGATTCATACTACACCAAAGTAATTAAGTAACAAAAAAACAATGCCATGACAGAAATGTTGCTGTTTTTTCAGTCTGCTATTGAACAATCGACAACTTTTTTTCTTACGATTCGAGCACAAATAACCTACTACAGCAGCATTTCTTTGTCATGTATAAAAAGTGTAAACTGTATTGTTGAAACTGCAATGTCTCATGGATTAAATGCACTGATGAACTTCTTTATACTGACAGAAAGGGGTGTTTCACTGGCTTGATCCACTTAAGATCAATCATATGTGGCCCATGATGTAAAATGAATTTAACACAGACAGGAAGGCAAAGGAAATGGAAATAGCATGGACCCAGCAAGCTGTTACTGGCTGAGGGATTCACACCCACCCACACACTTCCTAAAGAGTGTAAGCCCAGAAGCATCCCAAACAGCAAAATATGAAAAAAGTAAGAAGATTACACCTCAGAAGTTCATAATTGAAAAATGTTGTTTTTTAGGAACATCCTGTGTATTACACCTTAAATAAGTTTTCCACACACTTTTATTCTGTGTGTTATAAGTCTGACTAACAACCAGTTCCTAAAATAAATGTTGTCGACGTAATAACTATACTGTGTGCGTGACTGCGCATTCATCATCATGGTTATCTTTCTATCATTGTCATCTTCAGAAGGTTTTTTTTTTTTTTTTTGGCATCTTACCTGGAAATACCATGAGGTTCGCCTGCGTTACCATGGTGATGGTGTGTGGCCTGGCTGTGACGACAAATTTGTAGAGAGGAGACGTGTGCTCGCCGTCTGTCACTGTGAAACTGAAGCTGCCAGAATCCTCACCTGGAGCAGAACAGATTGCACAGTTTTAACGGGTCACTTGTTAAGTTCGAGCTTTGAATCTGCTTTTGTTTGTTTCTGCCCCTTTTTTGTCTCTCTGAAACTTTATTGTCTTTACACTTGAAAAGGCAGAACATTGTTTAAAGCTTGCTACACCTTTATTGCCTTGTTAGAACGTAAAAAAAAACACCACGTATTTGTCACAATAAGGTACAAATAAATATTACATGTACTACTTATTTAATTATTTTTTTACAACCTAGCCACAGTATATCTCTGGGGTTTAATTGGCCTATTGATCAATACCAGTGACATTCTGATTACATTACAAGTTTATTGAGATTTCTGCTTGGAGAAACATAAAGACCTGTGTTTCAGCTCGTCGTGTTAGCAACACTCTGAGGTAGACGCAAATAAAGGTCACAGAGTAATCAGCGTGTCAGCGGAGATACAGCGTGATCGAGCACTTAACCTCTAATTCTAATGATCTCACCCTCGTGGACGAAGACGACCTCGCCTTTGTTTACGTGAGCCTGCGTAAAATTTAGGATCTCATCATCAGGCGCCTCTTTCAGTGCAACCCTCCCATTGATCGGCATTTCAACGTTGTAAACCAGTTCCTCTGCGGGAGTGTCAGCGTCCTCAGTGCTCAGCATGCTGGAGGTGATATCAGCTTCCTCACCAGCAAAAACCTGTGAAATACCAAAGACAACAGGAGAGAGAAACACAGTTAAAGACACTTTAGGGGTTGGGGAAAAACATCAATACAGTATCATGATATTTCGTGCAGTATTTTATTTAATATATGAAAATACATACATAAATAACAAATAAAAATAAGAGATAGATAGATAGATAGATAGATAGATAGATAGATAGATAGATAGATAGATAGATAGATAGATAGACAGATCGATTGATGGTAAGTACAAAAAGAAAACCCAGCCTATCCGTGAAACATAAAGCAGCCAGCTCCAAAGTAAGAATTTAAAAGGTTAATTATTTCTCCATGGCAGTCTACACACGCCTGTTATCAGAAGATGGAACACAGCAGTGCAGACTGAATGACTCTCCCTAGGTGGAGGGCCCTTAATGGACTTCTAATGGTCGGATGGCTGAAAAGAGCATTAATTGAAAGAAATGGGCCAGATCTCTAGAAAGACATTCCTAAATAGCTGGAATCAGTTGGGAGAGTGTGCTTAGGGTGCCTTGCAGTGAGAAGTAAATATCGATCTAGAAAGCCACTCACCCTTCAATACCACACTCCCTCTTTTTACAGACCCGGGATAAAGACCAGAAAGCCTCTGGGCAGAGGAAAAGAGGACACTTCGGTGGTAGATGTTAATGTGGTAAGTGTCAGTCAGTGGGAGACAGAAAGCGACAGATCCTAACAAAGCACAGACTCAGTGACCAGAAACTGGTAATCGAACTGGGGAGGACACAATTATTGCCCTCTGAGGACAAAACAGAACATGTGATCACTGTTTAATACGTGAGGTCAAACCAGATATGCATTTCCTCCTAAAACGAAAATCATTCAGTAACGCAAGGATCACTTACTTTAACTGATTCAATGCTGTAATTGCAAATTTCAGTGAGCTAAACAGCGTCTCTTAATAACAAAAAAGATCCATAGTAGAAGGAGACTGGGCACATCTGACTGGACCTGGTTTTTCAAATCTGTCTGTCAGTGTCACATAAAGTCTCAGTATGAATTTCTGGGTGGAAGTGCAGATTAAGACACACTGACAAGAACACAGCCAAAGCCTGGAGAGTGTTTTGGTGAAAAATAAAATAAAAAAAATAAGACAAACTATCTCGATGGGATTCTTTTCTAATGAGGATACTACCAAAGGAGAAAAAAAAAAAGAAATAGTTGCTCAGCTTCTGTGACCGATTTCTCTGTACAGATTAATGGTGGCTGTTTATCAGAAACCCTGTTACTAATGGACGATGTCTAAAGAGAAAACTGATGCTACTCTTTCTGCTATTATCACAGCCATGGTACTAAAATCTTTTAGTAAAGTGTCTACACTGCTTTCACATCTTCTGTTTTTTCATGAGGATTCAAAAACACACCAAAAAATATTGTAAGTAAGGCATGGCACACAAACAGTTTCAGGTCTTAAAGTGGGATTTAGTTTTACTCTAATAGCAGCTGAAACTCCTAAATTAATAGTTAAGTTTATACTGTAGGCAATTCACACATTTAAAACCAATACTGCTTTATGGTAGGAAACACTCTTAATGAAATATAAAGGATTATTTGCAACAAGATGAAGGGCCTGTGAGAGTGTAACTGGGTGCAGTACTGCTTTTAGCATGCTCACACTGAATGTGGCAGACTACAGATGTTTAGCAGGTCTTCTGGTATAATACTTACTGTGCATGCTTACTAGGTTTGGTCTCAGGGTTTATGTGTTTCTCAATGGAGGGTCCTTTATGGGCTCATTTTAGTTTGGGTAACTGTTTGGATTTGATTCGTTACAGAGTTTGAAAATGTTGATTCCTTTTTTTGATTTAACATACTAATAGTGAGCTGGATTACTATGAATAGTCCTGAGTTTTCATTTATGTCTTTACTTCATCTACATGATTTTTGTAAACAGTTTCTGTTTTATGATGTTTTGGGTCATGATTTTATTGTTATTCTAACATGAAATAGATTTATTTGTACTGTTCAGGTTGGTGTCTCGGTTTCAAAGAGTTACTGATACAAGTTTACAATTTACTCTTGTGGTAAATTTTAGCATATAGGAAAGCTATATGCTAACAATGCTATACAGCTGTATTTAAAACTAGGTTCTTTACTGCTGTTGTTTGTATTGACAACATGTAAGCCTATGGGGAATAATATATAAGGATTCTTTTATTATGACTTTGTTACAGTAACAGGTCATAACCATTTAAATACAGAACAATTTCAGTACCTGTACAATCTCCCAAAGTGTTTTTCTTTTCTTCTGGAAAACAAAATTAAATTAATATTCACTTAATATTTGTTACAAAACATTCTAATGAATTCTGCTAAATAAAGAAATGAATTCCATATATGCACTACATAATTATGTCAAGTATATGGGTCTTGTCTCTTTGTCTAATATATGTATTTTGTCAACTTCCTGTTTTTATTTTGAAAGTTTTTTTTTTTTTTATCATGTTCTGGGTTAGTTTTGCTTCCTGTCCTCCCATTTGCTGGACTTTACATTAAAGGCTTCTGTTACTGATGTCAAGCTAGCTCATGTGTTCACTGGACAAATGAAAATAATTTGACTGTCAATAGAATTTAACCAATCACAGGCAGAAAATCATCTTTAGTAAGATGTGTACAAAATAATTTGCCAATTGCTGCAAATATCAGAGAATAGATGTTGAGGGAAAACCTTAAGACTCATCAAGCAATCAACATCCCCAGGGCCGCATTGTCTTCCATTTCCCTATTATAGACGCTTTCAGAGAAAGTTTAATCTTCAGTTCTGAAGCTTTTGTCTTTTTAAGTGCTTTATGTCACTTCTGGTTTTTCACATACCTCCAGAGTTCTGCAATATAACAAATGTTTTATGAAGTCTATAATTTAGTTGCCTTTCAGTCCACTGCTTATAACATCCCACTCAATTTGACACTCCATCAAAGCCCTTTCAAAGCCCAGACTGCATCAAGAGTTCAAAGCTGTGATCCATCATTATACACTTACTGCTTTTTCTGTTGCTAGATTTTGTCTTTGTTGCTCTCAAACGATAACGCTTAAAAAATGGTGATGAGCGCAAAGATAAGTAGGCTTTGAGTCAAAGATAAATCAAGAGTCCCATTCATAACAAAAGCCCTATGTCTATATGTCTAATCTCAGTGTCGAGCGGCAGAAAAGACCAATATTTGTCGCTTGCATAATAAAAAATGCATTTAGAATATGCAGAAGTCTATTATTAACAAAGGAGACATAAGCAAGATATAAAAGAAGACTTATGTTTGCAACAGATAAAAAGGAAATAAGACGGGGGTCATTTCATGTGAAAGTTACCCATGTGTTGCGTATTTCTGCGCTGAAACATGTGCGTGTACAGTCAAACAGAATTAGCACCGACAAGTTCATGTGTAGTTCAAAAGACATTTGAACTACCTCAGTTAAAGAGAACCCAAATTTATTTGAATGGTAATGTTTTTGAAAGTCTAAGTTACACATAGTTATTGCTTCAAAGGCATCTATATGAGTATATGTCTACTCCTTGGAGAGCAGAGTTGCTTGTTTTGAAGCAAATATGTGGCAAAATTTGGAATAATGCCCAAACTGTCAGCTTGAATTTCATGAATTTTGAGCCAAAAAAAAATCTACTAAACATGTATCTCACACTGTGGCACCACTGGCATTGCTGGCTGAAGTCCCTGCAGAGACTAAGATTGTGACTGGACCTGGTGATTTTTTTTGGTCTTTTCACCATAGAGGTTCTGGACTAAGAAAAAGGAGGGACAATAAGCTTACATGTGTCCAGTTCCTTCATGAGCAAAAACATGTGTCGCTAGGTAGGTGCTAGGTAGAACCGACAGCTCTATCACATCAGCCTACAACAACAAACAGGAAAGCGTTTTATCCTCGCTGTTGCAGAAACCTGCAGAGATCTTGTGATACGGGGCTTTAGAGGAGCTCGTTCTCCTTGGGGCAGTTTTCTTCTCGCGGCCTGCAAAAAAGCACAGTCTGATAGTTTGTCCAGGGGCACACCGATGGTGGGGGAGTGCAGACTAACCCAAACGTTCCCAGCCAAATCTGGACTCTATCAGAGAGGTTTGCAAGTGGATTGCCTTAAGGCAGAACACCCACTTTTCCTCTTTGCACCATGGATGAGACAGCTGCTCAGTGCATGCCCACCCCTCTATTTTAGCCCTATTCTCGCAGAAGCCTTTGGTGTACAGTATGCAGACATGACTCAGCTGAAAATAGCACCACCCACCTGGACAATTTCTCAGCTTTGAGCAGCACTGCAGACAAATTTGGTGTCCCATCGTTCAAGCTGAGGGGACAAGCTACTGGCAATTATCTGTGGGAATAATCATGTTAATGCTGAAAACTGTTTGCTCGACAGCAGCCTAACACATCCTCAAGAAAAGCTCTCAAGTCATCTAAAGCCCAGGATTTATTCACCTTTACAAAGAGATTGCTGTTAAATGCCAGCTCTTATAGGAACTAGGTTTAACTAAGGTTTTCCAGAGGCTGACATGAGAAGCTTTCCTGTTGGTCTCCAGCAGGATTTAGTACACAAAGAGTTTTTTCCCTGTTTCCCATTCAAATGTTTTCTGGTGTTGTCCAAGAGCCATCAGATACTAATTAAATGCTGAAATGTGTACTGTACCTTTTTCACAAAAAGGTATATGTTTGCTAATGGCAAACAGAATTTACACTGTTAGAAGGCTGAGCGATACTATTACAGAGCAATTCCCGGTCCTTTACACTAGATGGCCACATTAGCCCATTCTCAACCACAGCCAATCTAGGACAGGCAATCTGAAAATGGTCTCGCAAACTGATAGTTTATATAACAATCAATGCATTTAGCACCTAGGAGGACGGGCCGCAAATTCAATCTGATTGGAGATAATGGCTGGCATTTCATTTTGAGGGAGTAATGAAGTAGCTGCCATAGGCAAATGACTTTGTTTGCCAGTGACTCAACATCATCCTCTAAACGTCTGAGACTCTGAGGGGCGCCAGATGTTTGCAGCTGCATCCAAAACTGCCTAGGCATCATGTTTAAGTACAAATCCACCAGTGTGTTCGTAATTCTATACTCGGGAGCTAAAGTTGACAGCGGGAATAATGCTATTTAATTTCGATTTCTCCTCCCCTCGTCCAGCCCATTCCTCTCAGAGATACAGGTTAACTACATGCCCTCGCTCCTACTTTGTGTTGTAATGAGAGATTAAACAAAAGTACTTAGCGAGGGTAATGAGGCTATCACTCAAAGTCAAAGTAATCTTGTAAAATGTGAGAGATGCAAAAGCAAAATAGATTGGCAGGTAGAGTGAGGCGCTTCTGCACAGAAACACAGCAAAGTCAGGCGGAAGCAGACGAAGACAGACAGGGTTTAAATTCTAATCAAGACCAGCTGTATCCTGCAACACCAGGCCAAATGTGATCAGACTGAGCAGAACCCGATCACGGTCGTGTTAGTCATCATGTCTACAGAGGTCACTACACACACACAGAACACACACACACTTCCTGCTCTAAATCAATCCAAGTGCCACTGGGCCAGCCCCTTGCTCTGTGCGGGTTAGACATCCACATATTATTATGTTACATTCTGCAGCCGCAGCAGAGGAGTCGCAGGGATTGGATGCTGGCCTCACTCTGCCAGAAAGCCGCGGTCTCATCGACCATCTTGGTTTTCCAAAAATACGGGTTGCCAGGGAGACGAGGAGCCACAGGCAGAGCGGGGAGGGCTGAATGACACAGTTGGTTTCCAGTTCTGTGAGCTGATTACTGTCGACTTTTTCCGACTGCGTGACTACTCCTGCTGTAGAATCTACGTTATTCATCCCCCTAAACGTTTCTTTCATGACTGACGTAAATCAGTTTAAAAGCTTGCCACAAACTCATTATAAGCCTTCAGCAGAGTCATTCAAATATACACCTTTCTTCTTACAACATAAAGTTCTAAGAATTCAGTGCGGAGGTGTTTCGTTCTTTGACAGTCTGCCACTACCAACTTATGAAACATTATCCAAATCGCCGGGGAGAAGCAAATATGCACGTCCATCAAACTTCTGTGTTGTTATGCTGTAATTTCACTTGGAACCCAAGCACAACTTACCCCTCAGAAAAGTGACAGTACAGGATCAAAATGGAAAATCTAGACACATACTCAGAAATGTATACCTGAAATTCTGCCTGATGCTTTATAGTGGGCACACAGTGGTGAATCACTGCCCTTCTATTGTAACGTGACTTTGCACAACTTACATTCTGAATTTTCACTTTATTAAAAAAACAAATACTCTTAGGGAGATGGTGCATGTCTGAGATCTGTATAGTTCAGACTCGATGTACAAATTCCATGCATTCGTTTGCCTTACTGCGTGGAGAACATTTTATATGCAGGTCATACAAGATTCATGATTTTGGACTGTTACTGCGGCTGAAACTATAGTGTATGGATGTGAGAACTGTCAGCAAAGCCTACACATTTCATTCAGAGAAGATTAATCTATCAGCTTCTATAGACAGATAGATCTGTCTGTTATTTTGTTGGAAAATCAAACTAAATGAAGACTAAAGCACAAAGCACTATGGGGTAATTCTGCTAAATTGACCGCCTTTCAGCACGCCAGAATCTCATCAACCGTTATAAAGCCATTAATCTGTCATTCTTTCATATTTTGCGCGGCTTGAGCATCAGACCAGAGTTTGAAGCAGGTGGTAATGCCTGTAGCCTGTCAATCACGCATGCACGAGTCAAACTAGGTCTCTCTTCCTGCATACTGCAGCAGAGAGACCAAATACATACACTTTCATCTAATAACTTGCTCCAATAATGTTTGAAATACTGCAATAAACATGTGCTCTATTCTCTTTCACAGGGAATGAAAGCTGGTGGTCAGCTTGAATTGATATCGGGTAAAATGTACAACACTTTATAAGCATAAGGGAGTTTCAATATGTTAACTTTTCTGGCTTGATGAGCATGTGGGAGAATTGGTCACCTATCACACATTCATAAGAGCAAAGTATTACCTCTGTTCCGGTGTTGCGCGTCAGTTTCGGGGGCTCGTCGTTGACAGGTATGACAGTAACCGAGATGGTGAAAGGGAGGCTCCTGCGATCAATGTCATAAGCAGAGAGCGAGAGTGTAAAATTGTCCTCGGTGCTCTCTGTGCTGTCGTGCATGTAGTAGACTTCTCCACGTCTCATCTGCAAGAGACCAAAAGGATGCCAGTTGTTATATAGATCTCATCATGAATCATGAGTGGCAGAACACATAATAAAAGGTTAGATGAACTTCAAAGGTGGGATTCAATTTTACAGTGTGACTGTGTCTCTTAGCATCTGTACACAGTGGAAACCAGGGAGCCGTAACTTCTCTATAAACCTGGATAAATCTTTTAGGAGGAATTCAAGATCATGACCTGCACACAGCATTATTCAAAAGTCTTGAGCCATTCCTCAAAGTGATCTTGAACAATAGTTTTCTCAAGGTATTTCAAAGACCTTAGCTACTGGCTCCAAACTTTGAACCAAAAATGTATCACTCCATATAATCTATTGCCACTCATTGTCAGACCAGTACTTATAGCTGTGCATTGTCAGAGGAATGCTTTTTTTTCTTTCTTTTTTGTTTGTTAAGCCACTTAACACCTATCATTTAATTATAACAAAATGCAGCTAACTCAAGGTGACAGGTCAACATATGACAGACAACAAAGAACCATTCTTAAGGAAGAGACACAGAGAAAAGGACAAGGAATGCAAAATTAGACAAGTACTGGACTAAAAATCAGTGGCAACAGATTTGATGGAGTGATGAATTCAAATTTTTGGTTCCAATTGCTGGTATTGCTTCAGCAATTATCTCAGTATTTTCCTGACTGAAGTTGGGTCCATTTACAGCATCCTGCCATGCGATTGCATTTGTCCCTAACCACCAGGAACCCTCATGTTAACTTTTATTGAATGGAAAAAAGTTAGCGTTCATCCTCCAGCTTCAATGTGTTTGCATTATGCTAACCATAGCTGCGTAGCTAGCCACCATGTGGCACATCATTATATCAGCTAGCCCAAATTCAGAAACCATACAAATGTCACTGCTGTTTTCTGTCTTCATTTATGTCAGAAGTGATAGCAGAGCTGTACGTTTAAAATTTTCAGAAATCCCCCAATAGGAACATGCTATATTATTTAATCTTAATTTTTGGGGGGAGACTTCCCGCAAACCACTAGAGGGAGTCCACGTACCACCAGTGGTGTGCATACCACAGTTTGAAAATGACTGCGATACAGAAAATGACAGAAAATGTCTGATTGGCAACAACTTCATTCTTCATCATGACAGTGATCCCAAACACACTGGCAATGCAACAAAGGATACCTGGAGAGAAAAACAGCAGTGTGGGATCATCTTTTTCAGAGAACAAAATTCAGAAACATCCAAAGAAGAGCTTTGAATGTCCTTCAAGAAATCTGGAGAACTATTCCTGACTACTGGTTAAATAAATTATAAGAAAGCTTGCTTGAGGGAGTTCAGATTGTGAATAATGGTAGTCATATCAAATACTGACTTTCAAGCTTACTGAAAACACTGTTTTTGCTTTGTATACTGCATTTCCATTTGTGTTTGCGCATTTCAACAAAATCGCTGCAGCTATTTCCCATTTTCGTAGAAAAATAAAACAAAATGAGGGTCGGCTCAAGACTTTTGCACAGGGCTGTAGTTTGAAACGTGGATGGATTCAACGTGTTCGTCACATATGAAGCACATTATGCTTATTCTTCACAGCAAGTGAGACAGTAAAACTACATCCACAATACTGTATAATTACAGTCAAGTCTAACGAAATCAAGGCACTGATAAGGGTAGTCCACCAAATTGAGCTTGGAACAATTTGCAACTGCACTTTGTTACAATGCTCTTTGTAACTTTTAAAAGCAGTCTACAAATAGGCTCTTTTGCTTTCTTGCCTGGAGTTACTGTAGATGAGAAGATAAATACTATTCTCTGGTCTGGGTCATAAATCAATTGGTTAAATATGCCAAATTTGCCAGGAGACAGTTTCCCCAGCTCAGCATAAAGATCGGTCTTTTGCATTGATTAAATAAACAACTTACCGTATGTAAGCGGGCAGTAGAGTTGCTGGTAAGTGGAGTTTTTGATAGACTTTTTTTTAATGTGAAGCCAGACCCACTGTCTTCTAGATGTAACCTAATATTCATTGGACACATCTTTGCAAAGAAAGTGTTTCAAAGTATAGTTTCAAACATTTTCTTTAAAAGGATTATATTTTAAAAGGATGAGAAGAATATATTGTTTATAGCGCACACTGTATTATTTATGTTTTTCTCCAATCAGATAATATGATACCAGCTTTCAAAGTCGAGAAAAGGCTATAATCAGGATTTAAATGTCTGTCTGATAGCAGCTCAGGAGCAAGTGAGATGACACCTTGAGAGAAACCAGATGCAGAAAAGAGTCAGTCATCCATTGTTAAGGGAACTACATAGAAAACAGCGGCTGTGGCTGGGCCGAACAAAGAGCTTTACCTTTCTGCGTTCTTGTTTAAAATCTTTGCCGAATGGCTCGAATAATTTAACTTAAACATCCGTTTTCGCTGATACTTTTTGACAACATTTACAGATTCAGAACACTTCTCTGCAAAGAGAACAATTAGATCTTTGTCTAGACAAAACCCAGGAAGCTACAGAGATGAAGGGACCTGCTTCAGAGAGCAGCAATTGGCGAATGGATTCCATATGACGGGCATCCTTTTGGAATAACAACCTTCATCATCATTACTGATCAGGGAAAGTCGGAGAGAAAATCAGTCTGCTTGCTGGAACAATAAACAGTTGCTGGTAATTGGACACTTGGCCAACTCAGCAAGGCTGATGTGTATGGTTGTGTTTATTACTAGCTGCAGACTTTATGTTAGTCTAATTTTAGGCCGATGAAAAGTCTCTTGGTCTGGTTGGCTATTGAGCTATGGAGTATAAATGGCAAAGGCATGCTTGCAGTGTTCAGAAAACATGCACTGTGTGAAAATATAAAGAAGACAATGCAGACTTTAATAGGTTACTGCAGACCTAATGGAGACCTGATGGAAAGCTGAAACTGATTAAAACAAAGACATATTGGAACAAAGTGTTTCATGTTACTGGATGTTCATACGACAGATTCTGTGCTTATATTCCATCTGGACAACATGGCACATAAAGTTAATTGAAATTATTGTGGCAGGCGTTCCTGTGAATCTGAATGAGTCACAATTTTTTCTCAAAGTAGACTCTTCTGTGTAACCGTAGGCTTACATAACCTCAGTGCCCAAACTGATGTCTTCATTGCAGCACTACTACTAATAAGTCCAGTGTGCATTCCCAAGTGACATCTGGGGACTTTCCTACTTGAGCTTCAAATAATATTGAACTTAGCAGAAAAAAAACACAGCTTTCCCATGTGGCACCTTCGGGATGGGAAAAATTAAGCCAGTGTACAAAGTCCCCAAAAAAAATGCAGTTTGTCTAATGGCCACTTGAGGCTGGCTCCAAAAGCTAGTCAGTCCTTGTCGACTGTAAATTTCCTAATTTATGTAGGAATGTTTAAAGCGTAGTACAAAAGCAGATTTGGTCATTAGTGTCTAATAAAAGCACGCCTGCTTAGAGTGAAAGGTGACTGTCGCTGCGAGGTGTCTACTGATCATCACCTCGTCTAATTCAAGTCATTCAGCTGGACTTCTTGACTTTATGTTTTGGAGTATTTTACAATTATCTAACGAATAACATGACCTGTTGTGTGGCTAATTGTGCTAACAGATGGCCGAAGAAAACGGCACTAGCTTTTTTCCCCTCTAAGCTGTTTTCATTTATTATTTTATTTATATATTATAATGTTTATATATATTTAAAATATTTATTTTATATTTATTTTATAATAATTGCGGCTTGACTCAAAAAATATTCAAAATTAGGCTTGAACCTGAATTCTTATTTGGGATAACTAACTGGACTGGATTCTCCGAGTATAACATTTGAAGAAAAATTAAAGAAAAAGTACAAATATGTCAAAAAAAGTATCACGATTTTTTTTTCTCCCAGCGTTCATTGCAGCAGACTCATTGGAGCTGCACATTAGATTCTTAAAGACACAACATGAGTGAGTCTAGTAAAGTGTGGGAGAGCTTGTGTGCACTCACATATTATTATAGGAATTTAGCAAGCCAGTTTATTTTGGCTGCAGGCGCTCCAAAGGCATCGTCAGTTTTTCCACAATGCTTCAGCAAAGTAGAGCAGAGCAGTGGGTTAGATGTAGGAGCTATAAGATATATGTCTAACTAGCTCCACTCAACTATGCGGTCCATTCAGAATGCATGAGGTTTTTCCACCGGTAACTACTCATGCATTTTTCATATTTTCCTAAAGCTGGGGTGTCTGAACCACATGGAGTGAGACGAGCTAGCTGTGCTGCAGAAGCTCCCAGATTTTCTCTCCTCTCTCCATCTGGTGTAGCTACACAAATCCAAACAGCACCGAGTAGTAGCTGAGAAAAGTTCCAAAGTGACGCATTGTTGTGGTAATCCTCTTGAACAACTGCCCTTTCCTACTAGTGTGAGAAAGATGTTACACTGCCCATTGATGGCTTTTTTTTTTCTTGTGAGAATATTTTTGGACTCAGTGTGACAAAAATATATGAATCTTTGTCCAAATGAAATTCAGGTTCCTTGTATGGACACAAGACACAAAGAAATCTGTTTAATCCTTACAATGTTATACTGAAAATCAAATGTTTTGGGCCACTTGGCACCACATGTGTTGCACATAAGCTAACCATTTGGTGCAAGCAGCCATTTGGTAAATAAAAAGTTTGCACTGCTTCTTCCTGCCAATTTGCAGGGCAACAACAAATGTCAGATTTTTAATAGAACTTCAAAACCCACTTTCCGAGTGGCTATAATAATGATTCTTCTTCCTACACATGCTCGTTCCTCATGATGCTGGCAGGTTAGACATTTCTGGCAGGTAGTCACAGTTAATGGAAGTGTATCATTGGTGTACGCATGTACTGCAAATAATGAACGTCAAAAATGACATGCATAGAGCAGAAGAGCTCATTAACGATGTGCTTTGTCTGCTTACCTCTTCTAATGAAAAGTAAGAAAGCTCCTGTCCACTCAAGGAGCGGATATCCCCGTGTTTTGGTGATTCATCCACAGAAATGTCAATGGTTGATGAGTTGTAGAAGGGGTCCAAGATGTTAATAATGTCTGCATTAATTACTCTGCTGAGGCCCTCCTTCACAGTAAAGTTGAGGGCTTGGACAGGGATTATCCGGGGCACGATGTTCACAAACATGCGCAGGTTCTCCACTGTGTTAAAACCATTACTGACATCCAGTGTGAAGACATCATGCCGCTGAAAGAGATAAATGTAGGAAATAATTTATTGATGTTTAGAGAAAAACCTTGTACCTTAAAACTGTCAGAAGCTGTGGTCGCCTTTCGTCTAGTTTTAGTTTCATTGTGAATATGAAAGGGAACGGGATTAAGAAGAAGTAATTGACTAGTTACAACTGAATATGTTTAGTGAAAGAAAGGAAAAAACAAAGCAAAACCTGGGTGGGTGCAGACACGTAGAGAATGTGTCCTTCATCAATATCTTCCTGAGTGAAAGAGTGGATGTAGTCGAGGACAGGTGAGGCCTCAGCGTCTGGACTGGTTGTCAGCTTGACCACATGACCGTGCTGAGGCGGTTCTTTGATTGTGAAGATCATTTCACTGGGCAAAATGTCAGCTTGCTCCACCTAACAAGTCAAAGGTATATCCTGTTAATTTAATATTCAAGATTTATATGTATCCTAAGTGTTTGGTAGCTTGACAATAATGCAGACTGTACATAGCGAGCATTGGAAGAACCCTGTACATTTGTAGCATTGCATGTGTAAGAAAAAATGTTTAAATCTTTTGCTGTTTCTAACTCTTTTGAAGTATGGTTTAGATATACTTTGTTCTGGGCAAAATGTAAAGAATATTGCACAACCTCAAGAGTTAGCAAAACCAAGAAATTAGCTACTTGGCTAAAATTCTGGAAAATCTAGATTGGAAGTGGCAGCACTGAAAAACTGCAGCTATTTTGTTGTTCCCCTGTTTGAACATCCACAATTGCGTACACAAATATACAGTACAGTTGTTCTCTGTAGCATTAAAACAGTTTAGTTGTATTTTTAGTTCACAATATATAATTAATAGCCCTGCTATAGTGTCTAATATAGACTTAAGACACATTGTTAGACAGCATTGTGAACAGAAACTTCAATAGACATTTGTGACATTTGGCAACAGTTAGAGCCGTGCTGCAGATTTACGCGCAGGCAGATTTATGGTCATCTCGCTTTGAGAAGTTTTAATCTCGAGCCTGCGCGGAGCCTTGGAGTCTGTAGGAGCCATGCTCACTTACGGCAATATTTCAAAAGATCATACCGCTTTTCATTTCATTGTACAGACACACACATTGGAAAAACTCCCAGAAATAAAGTCAATATTTTACCTCTTGTAAAGGCCATTCTGTCAAGGCTTTGTTCCATACATATTTCAGTACTGTGTATACTGTGCAGTCAGCGCTGTATATTTAATATGCATCTCATACTGTAAAACCAGTGTATGTTCAGATTTTTTTTATTTATTATTTAGACCTTAGTCAAGGTCTTACATATAGCTTGCAATGAATGGATCAGCATTTTAAACTGCATTAATTGCTTCCATGATGAACTGCATGCAGGCTCATCTTATAAATTACAGTGGGATTCAGGAAGCTCCTCGGGGGATACTTAGTGCTCTGTTTTCTGCACTTAATAGAGTGCAATTTAGTACATAAACCAAATTAAAAGCAGCGACTGTAAAGTCATATTTAGCCCTGCTTTCATGTGGTTATAATATAGATTAAAAGCAGGGTCTGCTTGGTGACTCATGGGAAAGATCGTTTTCACAAAGAGAAAATATGTTTCTAAAGACGATATTTCTGTCATATGAAGATCATGTCTACTACATAGTCTTTCTTATTTAATAAAAGCAAATACGTGCTGCACAACTTGAATGTCAGCAAAGCAAACTGTTGACTGTAGCTCTCTTAATACAAAAAAGTATTGTAATTACAGAATCAGTAAACAGTACCTTGAGATGATCATTGCTGATTACGGTGTGCTCTCCTTCGTAAGAAATGATGACGGCATTGACGACCACCTCAGGCTCAGACAAGTAACCTTGCTTAAATATTTTAATCCTGAACGTGCCCTCTTCGGAAAGTCCATTTGCCTGCACAGTGAAGCTGAAGGAGTCCTTGGACCTCAGACTCTCATAATTGTGCTCATATGAGACTACACCCTTTTTCAGGTCTTCCTCTGTGAAAACTGATGCCTCAATCCCACTCACAATAATTCTGCCATCCTTGGGTGGGGATGTAATCTGAAACGTAATCTCACTGTCATGTCTGATGTCCATGTTGGATTCTGCACTCAGCAGGGTGGTATTAAGGGTTTTGGTGCTTCCATGATCGATGACGATGATTGTGTTGTTCACCACTCGCAGGTAGGGTTCACCTGCCTGGATCTCAAGCACTGCAGTGGTCTTGTGGAAGCCATCTGACACCTGGAGTGAAAAGCGCTCCCGATCTGCTCCGTGGTGAATGAATAAGACTTTCTTATCTTTCAGGTCGGCTTGTGTAAAGCGGAAAAGGGGTTGTGATGGCTGTGATGTTGAGACAATATTGCCCGAAAGGATTCCCTCACGAGCGTAGACGATTTGACTGTCATTAAAACCTGAGTCATTGTCCTTGAACTGAATGACATCTGTTGTTAGCAGGCGCTGACTGTTACGGACCACATTGAAGACTTTATCCACTGTCCTCACAGGAGTATGCTCATTTTTGGGATGGATTGATATTCTGAAAACATCGCTCACAGTTATCTCTGCATTTTCTTCATTTGCCAAAAAATGGAACTCATCACTGCTTGTCTTGGAGCCATCGTGCTTGTAAACGAGCCTTCCAAACTCAATATCTTCATTACTAAAAACTCTTATCGCCCCCTCAAATCTAGCAACTCCAGGTGGGGAATCCCTTATTAGCCGCCCATGCTTTGGCTCTTGAGTCACCCGATACAGGAAATTAACAGAACTTGAAGACTCCAGCCAAAGGTAGTTTTTGTTAAGACCATGCTCACTGCCCTCCAACACAACCAACTTCTTATTAGTCAAAACAGGGGCATCAGCGCTGGCAATGATATTGATCGGAAAGGTGTACAGAGGAGAGTGCTGATCCTCAGCAAAGACTTTGAACTGGAACTGATCTGTAGTATCCACAGCTCTTCGCACTCGGGCCCTGTAGCTAACAGCATTGTCTAAAATGTCTTTTTGGGTGAACATGTCACCCTCACCCAGCTCTCTGTCTGACAACAGGAGGCTTCCCAGTGTTGGGGGTGTAATGAGGATGTATTTAATTGTCCTGGGGTCTGGGGTTTTGTCAATGAATTCAGCTTGAAGGTCTGTGATTGTTTGCTCTTCACCAGCCTCCATTTCCAGTGGTACCAGCTGAGAAACCTTCACTTGAGCAGGGGCAATCATGACTGCAAAAGTATTGTTCCAGAGGGAGAACCGCCCCAGATGAGCGCTGAATTGGATCTGCTCCAACACAGTATTTTCCTGGTCACTTGAGTCTGTGCTGACATACCTAAGGCGCTTCTGATCTAAATCAGACTGATGAAAAGTTGTGACTTGTTTGTACACTCCGTCATTTGTCAGAATCTGCAGTTCTCCAAACACTAGAGGTTGTGTGATGTTATACACAATATCGCCAATACGAGGATGAGCGAGAGCAGCCAACTTGTGATTGTCTATGGATGCATTGCTTCCTTGTGACAAAAGAAGGCCAGAGTTAGTGACCATAGTTAAATCCGGTTGTATCACGGACAACTTAAAAGTAGTGAAAAGGCTTGATCCTTCAAAAGGCACGTCTAGGGTCATCATACCAGTACTACCACCTCTGTGTACAAAATAAATATTTCCATCTTCCAGGTCCTTACAAGCGAACTCTGAGATGCTTACTCCTGGTTTCTCTCTGTCTTCTAAGTAACCAAAATCCTTGGGAGGCTCTGAAGTAACAGTTATAATTAAGTCATCACAATTCAAGTCGAAATCCAACAACCTCATGATGCTGGTATTCAAATGAGTGCGGCCATTTTCAGCGATGGAGATTTCATTTATATCAAGTTGTGGTGTATCCTTAACTGGAAGAATTTCAATTGGGAGGACATAATTGTGAGGAGTTTTTAAACATTCTGGAAGGTAGAAATCACTTTGAGCAACCACCTGTAAATAGATTTGATCTGCAAGCCTTTCATTTCCATCATGCATATACTTGATTCTCTTATTGACAATATCAAGAAGAGTAAACTTTTGAATGTGTTGTCTGTTAATGTTTATATCGACTAAGCCATATGAGGGAAAACTCTCGAGAGTAAAGGTAATCTGCGACTGTTGCATGTTTGCAGCACTGAGGTCAAATGTAGGGTTTAAGTTGTTGATATCAAGAAAAACCTCTCCACCTTCTGGCACTTGTAATGGGGTGACATCTAGAAGCTTGGTCACATTTCTAAATAACTCTGTCGTGTTTTCTGTTGGGTAGCAGTGCTGTTGTTGATTAAAGTCAATGTAAACATGTGGGGTACTGATTGTAGGGGAAGTTGAGGTTAATTCCCCGTCATAATTTGAGTAGTCATAGTCCTCTCCTTCACATTTAACATGAATATCTTTGGTCACCAGAGCATCCTGCAGGTTTCTGTCTTTCTGATTCACTTTAATTTCTCCCAAGCATCCAATGAAGGATTCGTCTGTCAAATCTTCCTGATAGATGCGACCTAATGACCCATTGCCATGGAAGAATTCCTTCCTTTTTGCCTGGATGCCCCCTAAATACAGGCTTCCGACCAAATCCAGTTTTTGTGATGGGTCAAGGGAAAGGGAGGAAGACTGGCTGTCTACATTAAGAACAAAAGAATCCTGACTGATCTCGATCTTAACTCTGTGCCACTGATCGTCATCCAGCTGCACTTGCATATTCTTCAGGGCCTCCATACCACTACCGAGGTCCAGTAAACCTTTGAGATAGCCTTTCACAACACCAACAGCAATGAAGTCCGAATCTTGGCCAGGATGGAAAACAAGTAAGGCATCTTCAATGGTGGTTTTCATTAGAAATTCCAAGGCCCTTCGAGAACCACTACCTCCACTCCAGGTGGAGAAGGATATAAAAGAATCAGGGGTGCTGAAACTGGTGGTCTCGCCATCTCCAGCCTCAAACTCATTGCTGCAGGCTTCCTTTGTGTCTTGGCATCGTTTAAATGTTGAAGTGAGAATATCAAATTGATGGGATTGAAATTTGACTTCAGTCATACAGCCACGAAAAGGAGTAATGGCATTGCTAAGGTACGAAGTATGCAGGTCTTCAGTTCCTCCAAGCCAAATGCCCTGGTCAATATTGAGCTGCCCCCCGTCATTGCTCACAGGAACATATGTTGAAAAGACATCATTAATTGTCATGGTAAGCCTGCCTTCTTTCAGTGTCAGTGAGACTTTGTGGTCCAGAAGATTGTTCAGGTATGCTCCTTCAGATGAGGACAGCGTGACCTCACCAGCCCCCATGTTCATCCGAGCCTACGTGGAAACAAACATCATTTATTTCATTTGAAAAATTACATTGCATTGCATCTTTTGTATATTGTGGAACACTGGGTATTTCTGTGTGTTCATTTAATTGGAGCTGCTATTATATGAATTTATCTCTGCACTCTTATCTGCACATGATACTTAACATTAATGACTTACTTCACGTTGGTTTAACTAAAAAAGGTTATAAAAAACAACCCTATATACTGTGCAAAGGTTTTCAGTCACCCCTCGTTTTTGGTCTTGAGCAATCATTTTGTAGACTTTCTTTTTTGGCTGCTTTTTGTGGGTCATTTTCAGTCTAGTCCTTGTACCTGACCACTTTCAAAATAATGCTTTTTTATTATTTGTTTGTTGAGCTACTTAACACTAACCTATAACTCATTAAAGCATTAAAAAAGCATCTAACTTAAGGAATGAGCCAGTACTGTGGCTACACAAAATACAAAGAATCCAGCAATGATCCTACACAGGACTTCAGAAATGCATCTAGTCCATCTACTGTTTGCTGAGGCATCATCAGAAATGGTCTTACTGGAATGTTGGGTGTCCTTAAGGAAAGGAAATGAGGAGAAAAGGTTGAGCTATGCCAAATCACACAAGAAATGGTTTGAAAATCAGTGGGAACAGTTCTTATGGAGGGATGAATCCAAATTTGTATTTTTGTACATTTGTACATTTTGGTTTAAATCATCAGCATGGAGAGAGTCATGGCTTGGGGGCTGCATTTCAGTCAGCGGTGTTCGGGATCTTGTCAAAATTAATGAAATTAAGGAAGAAGAAAAGTACAGTCAGATTTGGCAGTTTACACCATGCAGTGACATCTTAAAGCTGTCTGTTTGGCAATGGCTTCGTTTTTCACCATGACTATGATACTGCCAATTCACTAAAAGAATACCAGAACGGAAAAACACACAATGTGACACCGTCAGTCATGTATTGGCCTCCCCAAAGCCCAGACCTCAACGTTCTTTAAGCAGTGTGGGATCATCTTGTCAGAGTGAAAAGCAGTTTTTTTCCTTATATACTGTATTTTCATGTACGTTTGTATTTTCTGGGTTCAATAAGACACTCCACCAATTTCCCATTTTCCAAGAAATATAAAGAAATCAGTGGTTGCCTCAAACGTTTTGTCATAAATGAACTGTGGTCATTATCATTGCCAGATCCTGTCAGTTACAATTGATTGCAGGTTAATTATTTGGCTAATGAAAGACAAATTAAATTTTTTTTACAATATAGAACATTCAAGCAGTGTATGACAAAACCAAAGCAAATGACAAAGAAGTCATAATTAATAAGTAATTAACTCATTTAGAAAATGAATTAATTCCCAGAAGTTTCATTAATAAAATCAGAGATCTGAATGTTCTTTAAAAAAAATGTTGAACTACATGATTCTTCAACATCCCTCACAGAAAAGGCAATTTCATTTTTGTGGCGCCTCGACTCTATTTGTTCAATGTATCTGATATCCCTGAAAAACGTCGACTAGTAATATTTCCTTTTATTACAAATAACCTTTGATTTCTCCTTACTGAAAATGAAGCAATATTGTCCCTTCTGGGAAAAGTCTGCATGTCTCGGTCGCACCGCAACTGATGAGAGTTTTACTGCTTTAATTTATTATTTATTTATTATAGACATAAACAGTTTTCATTTAAGTGAGAGAACTAGAGAAAACAAACCCCCCCAAAAGAATCTAATCAATCCACCTGTTTTAGAGGAACTCACGATGAAGTAATAGCTTATTGAATTGAAACAGAGTTCACGACTACTTTAAAGGTCACGTAGTTCATAACCCATTCATAACACATTCTGTTTCTTCTAGTAATTTCACTCGTGATTTCTTTGGGATTTTAATGTGTGACAAATTAAGCAAATTACCCTGATTAAATGACTATTTTGAGGTCATTTCTCCATGTAAATCACTTTAGCTGTTTATTATTTCACTATAACAAAACACTCTGAAACAGGACTCTCTCTACTATGCATAGGTGACTTTGACAATAACATATTTCGCACTGTAGCTGAAGTTGAAGTGTGGAACTACACTTCTCTACAAATACAATAAGTTATGCTGATTTCAAGGTGTTTTTGTTCTTTGTGAGTCCTTAGACTTGATTTTCCCATAGAGCTGCAAATAGAAATGCAGTTGTCTGTTTTAGCCTCTTCTTTTGAACAACTGCTCTGTTTTTGAAATGGTTATCCAATGGGTGCCAACACTGCTTTGTTTAAAAAGAGTTTTAAGGGCTCAGATTATTGCCATTTCTAAATCCGCACCTGTATTTTCCCATTTTGGAGCTCAAGGAACAGGTAGTCCTCGTTCCCAGCAGCCAGGAGTAGCAGCCCACTTCGTCGACTTGTCTTGAACTTTAGTGACAACTGGAAGGTGGAGACATCTTGGAAGGCGTTTAAATGACAGAAGCTGTCCCCAAAGTAGGATTCTGTGAAGAGTGAATGTAGGTTATCTGAAAGTATAATATATGGATCATATTATCCTATACATCAAAGACATTTCTGTTTTTATACCCCGGATACATACACGGACACTTATTTTCTTTCACTTTGCACCATATGTCTTGTTTGTCATTTCTCTAGGAAAAGGCACCAAAACTTTTGTAGCTAAACATAAAATAGCCTCATTTGCATGATCATTTGCATTGTCTGCACTGTGGAAGCATAACATGGCCTACTACAGTGGCCCACACAAAAAGACACCTGCACAGGATGACACATTATCAACTCATCCTACAGCTGTTGTCTGGCAACTCCCTGAATTCTGATGTGGAAGTTTGGCGAAACCAATTAGAGGAGCATTTTTTAATACAGTCTCATGTTACAGTGCAACGTTCTCAGGCACTGATTTCTATATTATCAGGTGTCCTCCAGCTGCTCCTGGCTGAAGAGGAGCTCCTGTGGCCTCAAAGGGATTCTCTCACTGAGACATCAGTCATTACCCCTACGGAGATTTTTCCGGGCACATAGAGTCATGGGGAGCAGGATTTCCCAGGCTTGAGCTGTCTCATTTTCAATGATATGCTAATTCAGCCACCTGCCCCGGACTGTGCTCTCTCGAGCCCTTGACAAAATGTAAACCAGGGAGGAAGTCAATTATTTTCCAGTGCACATGCTCTGAAATTAAACTGGACCACCTCCAACAACCCGTTTCCTCAGCCGTGGGTTTTCCATGGCTTTAGCCAAGAGATATAGAATTAGTCGCCCACTTGCCATCACAAGGGTGATAGTCCAAGACACAGAAGCTCACAGTGAAGAAAGCAATGTTCTGATCGGCCAGTGCTAATGCTTTGGAATATTTGGAATAGTCCAGCAGCGAGATAGAGACAGTGTTGTGTCAAAGTTCAGAAATTCCTGGGAGATCATGAGGGACAAAATGTTCCCTCAAAATCAGCAGCAGCATCAACTAACCTAGCAGGCTTCATGCGATAGGGCATTAAGGAGAGGAGAAGAAAATATGACAGGCTCGAGAATTCACATTCATAACTATAAATGGAAAAAAGTACTTTCTCAGGGCTGAAACAAATGAGTGTGTGTGTGTGTCTGTAAAGGACAGCCTATGTCTGGGTTGCGTCTACATTAATGTCATGCTGCCAACTTCAAAACACTGAAGGCTAACTTTGTCCTTTTGTCTCTCATCCTGTAAGTGAGCCTTTCCATTGCGGATCTGCAACAAACATTGAAAATGTAAACAAAGACAATCATTTTGATGTCAGCAAGAACGAAAGCAAAGCTTTTATCGTCACGCCCACGGTTCTGCGTTTTAACTAAGAGGCATTTAGTTTTGGGTCCAGGGCTGCTCTGTCATGAACAAAGTCAGTGATGAATGGTCTAAGCACAAGGCCAAGCACACAGAGAGACTTTTTGCAGTCACAGAAACGCCACGGATATCACACGTGGATTTGACATTATCACATGTTAAACTTTGTAATACATACTGTGTGAATAACAACAAAGAAAAGTGAAAGAAATCACAATGACAATGAAACCAGCCCTGACAACTCAACAAGGAAATGTTACAGAACATGGAAATGTCATTTGTACAAGAGAGTTGGACGAAATTGTTGTAGTTACACATCATTCATTTGCAAAATGTCACTTTTTGGAGTCTATTGTCGTTAGCTGTTACTGACTGCGCCAGAGGCTATTATAGTACAGTTCAGAGAGTTTTTGGTAAAGCTAAGGTATTCTAAATGAAATACTAGTGCTAATTGCATAGGACCCTCTAGGCTGAAACTGAAAAATGGGGGAACAGAATCTTTTCTTACAGGCAATTGCATTAACAAAGAAAATCGCAATGAGCTCCATGGTTCTTAAACCCGAGCTTTTGTTGGATTGTTCACTGAGCATGGGGATAAAAAGCTGAAGGAGAGAGCGATGCCAAGACAATTCTGCCTGGGGATTTTCTGGTTCAAATTCAGCTTGCTGCTGTTGCCTTCAGGAAAAAGGAGCACATTTTCTAATGATACACACAAAAGCTTTACTCTCTGCAGTGTACCTGGACCTGGAATTCATTAGTTCTCCATCTAAGCTGTGTAAAGCTCTGTGTAGAATAGGCTTCACGTAGGAAAAGCACATTTTCAACATGCTATCTGTATAAATGTCTCGCTCTGTGGCACTTCTTTTGTCTCTGCACCCTTGGTGAAACCTGTTCAGTGTTAACAGTTCCTAATATGTTTGCAAAGAGATACCTCTAGGATGACAGAAAATGAATTGTACATCACACAAACCTCCTCTCTTCTCTTTTCCTGCAGTATAAGACTAAGCCACAGTCTCCATCTTCCAGGCACTCAGTGCTGGATGTAGATGGGAACTAGCTGAGGGGATTTTGCTGACAAGGCATCATCATACAGAAAGGAACATCATTGCTCCCAAAGGATGTAAGCTGGAGCTGTGGCTCTTCTGCCACACTTGGTGTCAGTCTGTGTGTTGAAGTTTAACCACCCAAGAGCACAGTCTCTGATAAGCTTCAACTACCACACCTCCCCCTTAACACCACTTTAACACAAACCATTCTGTGTCAAGTAGAATCCTGGTCTCAGGCCAATGCAGATGGCTATAATTTGATGACTGACTGCTCTTGTATTTATAATGCTCGGAGGAAACTGAGTCTTCCTCCCTTTTAAGAATCGTTGGATGAATTACCCTTTTGTCATCCTCTCCCTTTCCTCCTCCTCTTCTCTATCCTCTTTTGGTCCCAGGCTAGTGACACATGTCCGGAAAAGCTATAGGGAAGAGAGACACGCTGACCACAAGTGCCGGAGACAGTGAGAAGACTTTGTGTCCTGTGACATGTCCGTACTGATCAGTCAGAATCGCTTTAGTCCTACTTTAAGTGAGTGTGAAGATGTGGCAGATACACATGAACTAAGGATTCAGGGTGCTAAATGACTCATTACAGTCACTCAAGGTAATCTTTAAACTATATGCAGAAAATTGTGAAAACTGATATCCTTGAACTTTGTATTAACTGCATAAACAGAATAATGCTATTTTATTTATTGTACTTATTCTGTTTGTTTGAAATATTTAGCAGAAGAAAGGACCTTGTGTGTGGTTCTCTTCTCAAATTTTGTCATGGTAACACTGCTTGGAATCCAAACAAACCACCTACTTGCGTAACCCATGGTTAAGCTATGGTTAGATTGACTATAAATAGAGGTTATGTTTGCCATTTCTTTCCTTTGCTGGGTTTTGCCTACTGCAACAGGGCATGATGGCTCAAGGATATGAAGAATAGAGTCTGCTAACCACAGACAGAGCCTGAGAGCTTATAAGTGCAATATTGTTTTTGCCACATGGCAACTCAGTCATTACCACGAAACAATTATAATCCTTTGCAAGGGTCAATAACACTTAGCCCTGTGGTAAACATTTGTTTTCTAATTGTGTCTGCAGCTCAATGTACTGTTAGGGTTTGGAAGAGAACAGGAGAAGTTGCACATTACAACTAATCAGCTGAGTGAACAGCCTTGATAATTTATTGTTATTTATCAAACCAAAATGCCAAGTATCAGCTGTGAGTATTTCAAATATCATAGTGGAAGAGGATGGATGGTGTTTCAACACTGCACTAAAGCTGCAACCTTTCTTTAAATGGATTTCTTTACTATCCTTTACTACAGTTACAGAGCCTGTGTTTCATATGCCCACCATCCACCCCAGCCACCTCCCTCCAATTCTTTGCTTTGACAGATGCTAAATAAAATATGCTGCTGAGCATAATCAAAGCAGCATTAAATAATTAACATAATATTCTTAATATACTATAAGTTTTATATAGGGTGTGCTGTAAGTCATAACTATATGTCAGAACCAACTTGTTGGGAGCATCAAACTTCAGCTGTTGGCCCCACCCAGCCAGGAGGTTCAAATCAAGAATCTTCCTGTTGTAAGACAAGAGGGCTAACCACTGGATGACATTGTCATCCCTCAATAAACATTCAGATTCACTATATTAATACAGTTTTCAAAAAAAAAAAAAATTTCCAACAGAAGAAAAAGGTTCTTAAAATGTCTCCAAAAGTTCATTCTGTTCATCTGGACGTAACGTTTTCAGTGGGAGAAACGTTTCGTCACTCATCCAAGTAACTTCTTCAGTCTCAGCTGACTGCAGGTTTCCCCAATCTTATAAACAGTACATTTGCATAATGACTGAAACCAGCCCACTGAAGGAACAAAACACTACGTCTAGATGAACAGAATCGACTTTTGGAGATTTACTTACCTGGATGATTGAGGATGCATCAAGACGTTCTTAAAATGTGCTCAGGAAGTGAGCATTTTGGCAAAAACATTTAGAGACTCTGAATACAGCACTCTCCATAAGACAATAGTCCTAGCTCCAGTGCTTTTAAACAGCAGAGAGCTGAGCCACAACTCTACATACTTTGACAGTGCTGCTTTATGAGGATCCCTTCCAGACTTTTCAGAAGTCACCAGGGACACACTTTTACAGGCTTTAAGGAGCCATTTCTCAGACCCAGCTATGCTAGCGTGAAAGCAGGCTGCATAATTCTAGCCCCCTCCCTCCCTTTCAAATCCCTATCCACTTCTGCATCCCTCTGAGACACTCCAATCACAGCCAAATTGAAGAGGTACAATACTTAAAAAAAGGCTTGTGGAGGCCACAGCTGGAAGCCTCCTCCCTGGCAATAACCTACAACTTTTCAGGCTGTCTCTCTATAAAACGCACGCTTACAAAACAGACAAGGAGTAGCGGCAGCAACGAAAAATTATGACCTTTCTCTGTGAAAAGAGAATGGAAGTGCAATGTAATTTTAGCTTAGGTAAATGGACTTGTGACAAAGCGTGGAGTGGAGGATGTGAAAGACTCATGCTGTCTGGATTTGTGCTCTGCTCCGAAAAGCTTGGTCTCCATGCAGAATGAAAGGAAAAGCACTCCCTTTGGAATGACATAAAAGTGGTA